TTTGGTTTCCATATTTTCAATTTCAAGTTCATTTTTGTCTTTTTGGCCTTTGGGGGGTTGAATTTTGATTCGGCCATTTTCGGGAGCCGCGGACCATTCCTGCGCGCTCAAAATCACCATTTACGTCTGCGTATATGATCGTTTCCGGGAAAAATCCTTTCCTTTGTAATTTGAGCCTCCTATGAAACCATTTTTCAATTTTGTTGCATAATATGTTCTAGGGGCATTATAGACTTTTCACATTAGTTTTATTTTCTTCTTTCGACATGGTCGCTTAGAAAACGTGATTTTAGGGGGGGTTTCTCCTTCGTGTTTTTCCAGAAAACATCATCTTGGCACCGGAAATCCCTCGTGAAGTTTCAGCTTCCAGTTTCATTTTAGCCGCTTTTTAGCTCTTTTGACCAGATTTCTTGGGAGGGGATTTTGGCCATTTCGCAGTGAGTTTTTTTTTTAATTCTCTCGCGAGTCATGTAGAAAAATCAATTTTGAGGGGGGTTTCTTCTTTGTGTTTTTGCAAAAAAAATTCATCTAGGCCTCCAAATTCAGCCTCTGTTCTGGAATTTTTTGAAAAAAACCACACAGCAGCTTTATGGGCTGCTGCCAGACATGGTGCACTCGGCGTGCGCATGGGGCTGTCATGGCCCCTCGTCGGGCCGCCACGACGTCAATTCTTTTTTTGGGGTTTTCTCCTTTGTTCGGACTCCGATTCAAGTGAATTTTTTTTTTAACTTGATTAATTTTTTGTCGTCTATCCAACGGTGTACTCGGTTACACCCGAATATTTTTGAATAATTACCAGTTTGCCCTTAAAGCTTTAAGTGTCTGTTTTTCATCGACATGCCGTTTCTCCTTCGTCCGGACTCTGAATCATGCGATTCTTGAGTCCATCTTGATTAGTTTTTCGTTGTCCTTCCAGCGGTGTGCTCGGTGGCACCCGAGTCCATAATTTTTAAAAATGACTATTTTACCCCTATGGGCTTATTTGTCATATTTTCGATCTTTTGCTTTCGCATCAGTTCTTGTTGAGTTCCACGACCTCATGGAAGGTCACTTTGACTTCTTAGAGTCTTATTTTCTGTTTTCGCTTCCGCATATTGGATCCGTTATCCGGTCAATTTTCAGTTCATCACAGGACACGCTGGCCTAAAAACTAGGGCCGTCACACTAGCTGCAAATATTCCAGTAAGAATTGACGTCCTTGTAGGACAGTCTGTCATTGTTATTGCAAATGCATCTAAGACACGCCAGAAGCGTGGTAGACCAGTCGGTGCAAAAGACACTATTCCCCGGAAGAGGAAAGCACAAGAGAAATCAAATAAAAAAATTGGCGCTCCTGAAGAGGTCACACTTGCAAAAGGAACAACGAAAATGATTGATTAATCTAAATGTTATAAGCAAGTAGCCCCAGAACATATGCATGCCCCGGAAGTGACACAAGCCCCTGAAGAGGCATTGGTACCTGAAAATAATGAGATCTCAATAAACTATAAAGAAATGTGCGATAGAAATACAGTTATTATTAACGATATATTCTCCTTTGCAGTTGCTCTTGATATTACAGGTGATAATGAAGATCCTGAACCTCAAAACATCGAAGAGTGTCGATGTAGAAATGATTGGCCAAAATGGAAAGAAGCAATACTGGCAGAGCTAAACTTATTAGCAAAACGTGAAGTATTTGGACCTGTAGTCCAGACACCTGAAGATGTCATGCCTGTAGGATACATATGGGTATTTGTAAGGAAATATAATGAGAAAAATGAAATTGTAAGATACAAAGCCCGACTTGTAGCCCAAGGTTTCTCACAGAGACCTGGTATTGATTATGAGGAGACATACTCTCCTGTAATGGATGCAATCACATTTTGCTTCTTGATCAGTTTGACAATCTCAGAAGTACTGGATATACGTCTGATGGACGTGGTTACAGCTTATTTATATGGATCACTAGATAGTGATATATATATGAAAATCCCTGAAGGATTTAAAATGCTTGGAGCAAATAACTTGAAACCACGTACCATGTATTCGATCAAGCTACAACGATCCTTGTACGGATTGAAACAATCCGGACGCATGTGGTACAATCGACTCAGCGAGTATTTACTAAAAGAAGGATATGTAAATAATCAAGTTTGTCCATGCATTTTCATCAAGAAATCAAAATCTGGATTTGCCATTATAGCTGTATATGTTGATGATCTAAATCTTGTGGGAACTCCTGAAGAGCTCACCACAACTGCTAATTATTTAAAGAAAGAATTCAAAATGAAAGATCTTAGTAGAACAAAATTTTGTCTCGGCCTACAGATCGAACATTTACCAAGTGGAATTCTTATCTATCAGTTAACATACACTGAAAAAGTCCTGAAGCGCTTTTATATGGATAAAGCTCACCCCTTGAGTTCTCCAATAATTGTTCGATCACTTGATGTTAAGAAAGATCATTTTCGTCCTTTAGAAGAAGACGAAGAAGTTCTTGGTCGTGAAGTACCATATCTTAGTGCAATCGGTGCTTTAATGTACCTTGCGAATTGTACCAAACCTGATATAGCATTTGCAGTTAACTTACTAGCACGGTATAGTTCTATACCAACTCGAAGACATTGGAATGGAGTCAAGCACATTATGCGTTACCTTCGGGGAACGACTGATATAGGGTTATTTTATTTAAGAAAATCAAAGCCCCGGTTGATCGGATATACAGATGTAGGTTATCTTTCTGACCCACATACAGCCCGATCACAAACAGGGTACTTGTTTACTTGTGGTGGTACTGCTATATCATGGCGATATATGAAACAGACCATGACTGCAACTTCCTCAAATCACTCTGAGATACTCACAATTCATGAAGCAGGTATAGAGTGTGTTTGGTTGAGATCTGTTATACAGCATATTCGAGAATCATGTGGACTCTCCTCAATCAAAGATAGTCCAACAATATTATATGAAGATAATACAGTATGTATTGCACAAGTACGAGGAGGATACATAAAAAGTGACAGAACCAAGCACATTTTACCAAAATTCTTTTCCACACACGAGCTCCAGAAGAGTCGTGATATTGATGTTCGGCAGATACGCTCAAGTGATAATCTCACAGATTTATTCACTAAAGCACTTCCAACTACAACATTCAAAAAGTTGGTGGACAACATTGGAATGCGTCAATTAAAGGATCTTCGGGGTTTAACTAATGAGGGGGAGCAATTGATCAAAGAGATATTAGCATACTGTACTATTTTTCCTTCGTCTAGGTTTTATCTCACTGGGTTTTCCTGGTAAGGTTTTAATGAGGCAATTTTAATCTATGCAATACCATATACAAGAATATTGTACTCTTTTTCCTTCACTAAGGTTTTGTCCCACTGGGTTTTCCTTAGTAAGGTTTTAACGAGGCATATTCTTAGTGTAGTTTTGTGGACCCCAATGGGGAGTGTTATATATATCTCATAAATGTGTGAGGTCCCTAAATGTTTTATATCATCCATGAGCTCACAGTTTAGGCTTACAAAGGAAGGCAACACAGTGGCGTACAGAGGAAGCCAATTTTGAAGCCTATAAAAGGCATTGTGCATGTATTGATAAGATATACAATTGAATACAAAGCAGTTCTCTCTTTCGTTCTCTCTTCGTGTTCTCTCTCTGTCTCACTCTGTATGTGTGAAACTTTCTATAACAAATATTACTATATATATACACACACATATTCATCACATGTCCTAAACAATTCAAAGTTCCAATTAGGTTTTGGATTTAATTTATTCTTATTTCCTGATATACCCCTCTCTGATTCCTACTCTAGTTCTAAGGTCATGTTTGGTGTGAGTGAATGGAATCAAATGAAGTTAGAATGAAATACTTTTATTTCCATTCTCTTGTTTCTAGTGTCATATTAAAAGTGGAATGGCCATTCCAAGGCATTCCCAAGGAATGCCCATTCCATTTAAAAAGTGGAATGCCCATTCCTCTTCTTGAAATGTGGAATGACCATTCCATTCCCATTAATAATACAATAAAAAAATTAAAGACAAAAAATAGCTTTGGCTTCGTTTCTATCTTTCTCTGCGTACCAAAAATACACACGTAAAAGTGAAGCTCACAGGTGTGGGATGAGGCTTGCTGGACTAACTTTTTGGTTTGGTCATCACTGGTCTCGTCAGACCAGTTCACAAAGTTTGTCGGAACTGTTGGTCGCCGTGACTGAAGCACGTCGTAACTGATGCTCCACTTGAATCGTCGATGCTCACTGACCAAGCTTCGGATGTGAACTTTGGTGGGTCATCGGAGTGAGCTAAAACTTAGCAACTCGCCAGAATGATGAAGATTGTGCAACTGGAGCACATCGGAATTAATAGACCTTTGTTGCTCGGAATTCACACCGGAATCACTGGTTGAATGAAGCTCGCCGGCGTTCATGGTGATGGAGCATCAGCTGGGTCTATCTTCACCGGAACCGTTGAGTCTTTGAATGCAGCTCGCCAATTTGCCAGAGCTAAAAGGCTTTCACCAGTTTTAATGGAAGTCGAGAGTTCCAGTGTTCACCGGTTTTAACGGAAGTCGAAGGTCTGAACTTTTGCCGGAACAGTGAGAAGACTCTGTTTTGGGCACAATGAACGCTTCAGATTCAATTTCTATCAAACTTTGATTTGCTTGTAAATGATTTCTTTCACCAAATTCAATTTCTTGTTCTCTCTGTTATATCTATAATACCCACATATATACACATGTATATACATACATATATATATATATATATATATATTTATATTTCTCTACTTTCTCTCTCTATCTCGTTTATTTTCTCTTTGTATTTTCTTCCTTTTCTTTTTTTCTTTTTTTTTTTTGGTTTTTGTAAAAGTTAATTTTTTTAGTTAAATTTTTTTACTAATAATAAAATATAATTTTAAAAAATAATATAAATTCATTTCATTCCAATTTTCTTATCAAACACTGAAATGAGTTTCATTTTTACACATTTTATGTTCGAAACTAAACCGTAGCATCATTCTCGTTCAATTGTGTCATTTTATTCCGGACCTCCATTTATGTTCCATTCCAATTCATTCCACCGCACCAAACTAACCTTAAATCTTCTTTGGAAGGCATAAATAGATGCCATTGTTCTCTCAGTCCACACCTCTCTCTTTCTTGAAAAGCAAATATCTCTATCTCTGTTATCAACTCTCTCAAGGTATAGCATTTCATTCGGTTATCGTCTTCGATTCTCAAATCTTGAATAGTGCTCAATGTATGTTGGGTTTGATCTGAGTTTTCGCTATAGATCTGTTGTATATTTGATTTTTTGTTTTCTTTTTTGAATTGCAGATGCAGATCTTTGTCAAAACCCTAACTGGCAAGACCATAACGCTCGAGGTCGAAAGCTCCGACACAATAAACAACGTGAAGGCTAAGATCCAAGACAAAGAAGGTATCCCTCCGGATCAGCAGCGTCTGATTTTTGCCGGAAAACAGCTCGAGGACGGTCGGACTCTCGCCGACTACAACATACAGAAGGAGTCCACTCTCCATTTGGTTCTCAGGCTTCGCGGTGGGATGCAGATCTTCGTAAAGACTCTCACCGGAAAGACAATTACTTTGGAAGTAGAGAGCTCAGACACTATTGACAACGTCAAAGCCAAAATCCAAGACAAGGAAGGCATTCCTCCGGACCAGCAGAGGTTGATCTTCGCCGGTAAGCAGCTGGAGGACGGAAGGACTCTTGCAGACTACAACATCCAGAAGGAGTCTACGCTCCACTTGGTGTTGAGACTTAGGGGAGGAATGCAGATCTTTGTGAAGACACTGACTGGGAAGACCATCACATTGGAGGTGGAGAGCTCAGACACAATCGATAATGTGAAGGCTAAGATTCAGGACAAGGAGGGTATTCCACCTGATCAGCAGAGATTGATCTTTGCTGGTAAGCAGCTTGAGGATGGGCGTACTCTTGCTGATTACAATATCCAGAAGGAGTCAACCCTGCACCTTGTCCTCCGTCTCCGTGGTGGTGATTTCTGAAAGCCCTGCATTTCAGTTTATTGCTTTGTGGTTCTAGTTGATTTGTGATTTGTGAAAACGCTGAATTTAGCATATATGTGGTTCCTTTAATACATTGATGGTTATCGAGTGCTCTGTTTGGTTCTACATGTACATGTTTCAATTAAATAAAATTGCGCTGCTTCTCAATTCAATTTCCGTGTTTGATTTGACTGGTTTTTGTGTGTCTATTTATATGTTCTATGGTTTGGTTTTTGTTGATTTTCTTAGCCATATAGATGCAAATTGGAGCATTTTTTTTTTTAGGAGATTTGAAGATTTACATTTATGAACTTGGTTTGAAAATTTGATTTTGTTATGAATGTGGAATGTGGGATGATCTTGAACATTCATATTTAGAGGGAAAGGCACTAGAGCAGTCTCTCATAGCCATTTAGTATTTTAGTGATGATATTCAACCCATGGCTCATGGGTATTGTTGGTGTTCAATGAAACAAGATAAGCCATTATGAGCTCACTAGTACATTTGAGGGGAGGATATAAGAATTGGGATAGTTTCAGTTGAGGAGGGTAGGTTGATTGGAAATATATTGTAGCAATGCCATAAAGAAAATTTGATGATGGAACTATGTATTTAAATCTCTTTGATCTGTTGGGATTAGCTTACTAGGGATTTATTTGATGATGGAACTATGTATTTAACTCTCTTTGATCTGTTGGGATTTACTTACTAGGGATTTTGCCCGGTCTCAACAACATAGAGGGCATTGTTGGGGAGCTTGAGAAATTTTGGGTTTTTGATGATTTACCAGAGAAAAGGGGATTGGGTATTTTGATTATTGTGATGTGGAGTAAGGTTCCCAATTTGTTTTTCTACTTGGTATTACTTGCTATTGAAAACAGAGGCAGTTGATCAATTTAAATTCTACATAGCACATTAGCACCTATGTTGATTCTATTCACACGTCTGATTTCAGATTCAAATATGGAATCCAAAAAATGAGAGATTAACAAAATCAAATCCAAAAATTTATTGTGATGGTTGAGATATGTCCAATTCAAATTGACAGGAGTGTTTGTGGATCTTTCTGTCAATTATTATCCCACTGTGACAGAGTTCAAATTCGTTCAAATTCTTTGAGTTATATCCATTGATTTTGCCTTCCTTTCTTTCCTTTGTTTGTGCAAAATTTAGGGGCTCTTGCTTCATGATGGGTTGGCAATGGCAAACATACATATCTTGACGGGATTTTGAGCTCAGTTCAGATATCACGGACCTAGGTTCCAATATATGACTTTCATTTAGGGTTTTGCCCAAGGTCCTGATTGTTGCTTGTGTCTTGGTAAGGCTTATGGTGAGAGTGGGAAACTCAACTGTTGAAGTTTTGCGTAGAATCTTGAAAACAATAAGATACGGGGAGGTTTTTCTAGTTAAAGTGAGATACCGCTCTGTTAAGAGTTTGAAGTTTAATTTTAGCACAGATGAATCTGAACTGAATTCGTGTAGTTCTATTTGAATTTATTATTGTTATTTATTTATTTATTTTTTTTCATAAATATTCTATTTGAAATTTTGAGGCTATTGTTTTGGTATAATGGATAAAGTTCAAACAGCATCTTTGTTCAAATATTGCCAAAGGTTAAAGGTTCAAGGTTAGATTTTTATGCAGTCTGCCTGCCCAACTATCTGAATTCGAGACATCATCCAAAGGGTTATGCATGACCTGATATCAGATGGTAAGACATGGACTTCTCAGTATCAATTATTGTAGGCATTTTCAGTTAGTATATGGGTTTTTGTTCAAGGGACCTAAAATGCAATTGGTCAATAGATTGCAGTGCTGAGATTTTCTGAAACCCAAACCAACTTTCTGAAATCTACCATTTTGGTCTGTATGTAGCAGAATTACAAAATTTTAGGGAGGTGTAGGAGATTTTCAACAAGAAATGGATATTTTTTAGACTTGAACAGTGTCTGGGATTCAAAATTTACGTTCTATGGTTGCAAGATACAAGACTAGTTGAGGCAATTAGTCCTTCAGGGAACTACTCTCAATCAATACAAGAAACTAAAAAAGAACAGGGTTTGTAGCATTTTGGAAGTTTCTGTCATCAAGTTTTGGGAGTATTCATTTTCTTGGGCTTTTCTCAAATGAGAAATCCGACGAGCGAACATCAATTGTATGTTGAACATGAAGAGGCTGAAGGGCTGAACTTGTTGAGGTTGGAGCCTCTTTCTCCTCTTCCACTTGATCCTGGTTTCCATACTGTCGAGTCCATGGTACATCATCATGCTGGGGCGAGGGTGAAATAGACCCCTCATCTTCACAGAACTTCTTATCGAAATTGGAAACCCTAGGAGATGTACGAACACTGTCAAGTTCGCCCTGGTAATCACGCAGTAGATGAACTGGGGACATGCCATGCAGCGGAGTGCCTGGCCTGCTTGGCAATGGGGACGCTGAGCCTGATTGACGGTTCTGTTTTATATGCTTCTTTGCACTTTGGTGCCACTTTTTTAGAGCCTTAGCCACTCCATCATTGAAGACCGTCGGTTTCATTTTTGAACCCATCTGTTTTATACCAAAGGGTAAAAGAAGAAAATATGAAGGGGATGATGATCGATAACAAGACAACGAATTTATGAGGAGAATTAGACGTAATTACTTCTAAAATGACATTCTCATTCTAAGACATTGTTGATTTCTTTCTAGGTTTCTCCTTTCTCTATATCTACTAGCAACTCCGTAATTAAGAATTAGGTCTCACCTGTATTACTAGGGCATAAAGAGGGAGAATCACGTAACTGCAGACTACCTGTATGAGGACCCTGATCAAAACAGAATCGTATACTAGAATCAGTATGAGACTCACCTCAACAATTACAAAGTGAATACTTATTATTGCTCCTTGACTACTCACCCCATTGTTAATCTGATGACAATGTCTTCCACATTCTCATGAAAGCATGATGTCAAGCCGAATTCATACTGATAAAAAAAATTACCCAGAAAAAAATAAATAAATAATCGAAGATCAGATCTTGTTGGTGGAAGAATAGAGCTTTGAATGAAAAACTGTTTTGTTTCTTACCCATGCCCATGCAAAGAAGGCAAGCTGAAATGCATTCTGTGGGTTGGCAGAGACATCACAAAGCAAAGTTAGTAAGAAATAAAATGATGAGAGACAATACTGATGATGAAAATACTACTATATCTATTGCCTAATTTACTTTTTTCAAGATTTGAGGAGGATCGATTTTGGATTTATAATTGAGTAACTTTATTTTTGAACAACAAGTTGATGAGGATAATGTTAATAATATTGAGAAATACCTGAAAGAGAACAAAGTGGATGAGGACGAGTAAGAGGCGAGGGCTGTTGAACCAGAAGAGATCATCACCAGGTTGAACCAGTGGAGTTCCTTTAACCACTTCTCCTCTCTCTTGAATCCTCAACCCCATCATGGTGATGATCACCTGTAGCTTTGTTCCCACCAATAGGATGATCTGCAAAAGCCATTTCCATCATCTGATGGTGATCTTTGTAGAAATTAGAATAGATCAGAGGGATGAAATCGACACTTACAATCAGTGGGACGAAGGGTAACCACAAGTAGGAATACCAGCCTGTCCACAAAGACACATAATTAGGGCTTGAAAATTGAGTTTTAATTATTTGTTTTAGTTCTGTATACATGCATATAAATAACTTGCTTACCATGGGTATTAAACAGTAGGAACAATATTGCAATTAGCCAGATTGGTGGGCTGCAAACATGAAAAACAAAGTTATTAGCTTGAATATCATAAGCTAGTGAATTTTGCTTAAACTGTAATTAGCATCACTTTGATTAACATTTTAGAAGTTTTTAGTTTTTGAATTCAACTTTACTCTTAAAAAGTGATAAGACAAGTACTTCCAAAATTCTAGGTAGATGTTTTCTTTATGATCTTATTTGCTGCAAGCTTTAGGAGGTCAAATAGTACAAACTAGGAAACAACAAAATCACAAACTTGGACCAATTGACAGATTCAAGAGTTTGAGAATAACAGTGACCCACCTGATCCCTACAACCACTATAAAATCCTCCTCAAGTGATCTGTTGATGTACTTCTGGAAATTAAAATTAATTTGGCTCTGTGGTGCCAAATGTGCCTGCAAAATATCGAATATATTTGATCACTTCGTAACAACAACAATATATATATATATATATATATATATATATAATTTCTTCATGCTAATATAATATGCAAGACTTACAGTGATGAATCCATGGCGGAGAGTCAAATAGTCGACCTTGTGAACTGATCTGACGAATTGTCTGAAGAAACATACCTGCAATTGTGGAATCACACACTAAACAATCGTTCTCGTATCATCCTAAACAAATTCAACAACAAAGAAACTGAGATACTTGTAACGGGGTTGAGTAATTGCTTCTTACAATCCAAAGAAGAATAGGTGACTTGCTCCAGAAACTCAAGTGCCTTCTCCCAAACGACGTGTCCCGCGCAAACCTAAATCTCTCTGGATCTGCAGGACACACCCCATTTCCTTCATTTAGTCATTGTTAGCATATACTTATTGCATGATGCATTGGCTTGCATGATTAGTCTACATCTTTGTGCTTTTTTTGCATATTGATTTGAAATTCTGTACCTGTAAGAATGCTTTAAGATGCATCAGATGTAGTTAATTAAGTAAATAGTGGCATAATGGTTCCTCATAAAGCCTATAAGTAGTAACAATTCATGTATATAATAGATCAATTTTTGAATAATAAAACAAACTGCAGATAATATTAGCTAGTCATGAGGTAGAACTAGAAGTGCACTATTATGTTAGGAGAGGCCTATTACTTGCTTACTAAAAAATTACCATGTGAGTACTGATACTCTGTTGTTTTTGTTTCCATTTCCCATGCCTTCCACTTCCTCATCTGCAATTATATTTATATATACACACATACATAAGTATACGCTCGTAAAATTTTTATACTTACTGATACACATACCTGTGTATATAGAGAGAGAGAGTTTAATAATATACCTTTAATCTGCCTAAAGCCAAGGTGATTATACAATAAAGGACATGGAAAACAGCTAACACGAAGATGAATATGTGCAGTTGGTGAATGCCATAATTGGAGACAAATGGGACTTGATCCTGTTTAAAGTCCACACAAACTTACCTCATTAATAAGTAGAAAAACACATAATTCATTAACAACCAATTAGAGCCTTATTTAATTGTCGTCAGTCAAAATTTTCAACTAGATTGATCAATTTATTCTTCGAACATACATAATCTTCTAGATTCCAATGACTAAGTGACAAGTAAGTACAAACAAAATTATTGTAACATTAGGATTTTGATTGCGGATGAAAAAAAAAAAGGATTATTAATTGACCGTTGGGCATTTGTCATATTTGGCAGCGGCTAAAACACGTCGATCACTCCCATCGGAGTCCAAAAATTCGAGAAGCTTTCTCCGATCACCGGAGTCTTTATTTTGGTCGTACTTGCTCTCTTGCTTCTTATTACATGGATGCCAAGTAGCTCCTACGGACTTTGATACACAGATGTTTGAAATGGGACCTTGTCCTACTGTTAGGAGCAATGATATAAATCCCAGCAGCATAAGCTCTGTTCACAAAGAGAGAGTGTGAGTCTTGATGAAGTAGTATTATTATTGGCATAGATTATTTTTGTTATATATAATGCAAGAAATAAGCGAAGTGTGTGTGTGTGTGTGTGTGTATAGCCAACCTGCTTTGATCTTTTCAAGCGCTTCATAAAGGGCTCTTTTGTTCCTCTTTTTTAACCACTGTAAGGTGTAAACGACACAGTAAAACACATGTACACGGGGTAAAATTGTCAATTGTTTTGAAGTCAAAATTACCAACAGAAAGTAAAATTACACAGATATGGAAGTTTTGAAAAAATAATTCAACAAACCATGAACTTTCATTGTTATCCTGAAGGATTAGCAGTATAATGATACACGAGTTTGTAACTTTTTTGGGTATAAAATTGTGCGCCAATTTACAAATTTGTGTATTGATGTTATGTTTAATTGTTTATGTCCTATTTTGTTTAGAAATGCAATCTCTGCTCAAATTTTTATATAGGATATTATTGAGATAGAAAATTACATATCGTTATATATGTTATGTCCAAAACTATGACATATAACCAAACTCTGTCCTTGTATATAAGTTGTGGAATTTCACTTTGCAAGATCATGTTTTGATAAATTTGAATAAAAAAACACCTAACTTGATACTTTTACCAAAATATATATTACCAGAAAACCAAGCTAGCTATACCAATCATATATTAATATTTCCCCTGTATGTATATGTATATATATATTGGAACAGCTAGCTAGCCTACCTTTCCAATTAAGTGAAGGATGTATTCAATGACAATTGAAATTGCAACCAGCACGAAACAAACAGTTGCAACTGCCCAAGTTGGCGTTTCCTCCAGTGATCGCTCCCCTCCTGCAGCTGCCATATATATATATATGTGTGTGTGTGTGTGTATGAATCTTCCTTGAATATATAGAAACTCCCAATAGAGTTTTTTACAAAGAATTTCGAAACATGTAGAGAGTATATATAGGAGCTTCAAAATAACAGGCTCATTTAGCCAAAGTTTTTATGGATTTATAGACGACTTTGATCGAGTCAGGGAGACGGGAAAGGAAGGAGGGAAAGTGTTATATATATATATATATATAAGACTCTTATATATTTATGTGTGGAATGGAGAGAGATAGAGAGAGAGATGGGCATAGGAGCTCATGTAGGCAAAGTTGTGTTTGGATTTATAAAGGTTGAATGGAGATAGAGAGGAAAGGAAAGAGGGAATGTGTAGACTTTGGAGTAAACTGTTAGTGGAGAAGGTGTTAACTGTGGACACACAGACGTCTCCCTTTTTTTTTGTCTACTTCCTTCTTATGCAGTCAAATTAGTGCCATCAACTAATTAAATATTATCACATAAGCAGAAGTGAATTTACGGTAATAAGTCCCGGTCAATATTGAATCAGTCGGTTAATACACGTGTCAAGTTACCATTAAGAAAGTAAAAGTTAAAAGCATTAGACTTTTTTTTGTTTTAATGATATATCTTAATTGATATTCACACATGCAAACCCATGTCTCCACTGCGACTTGAACCATTAATCTCACTTTGAAAAATAAATGATTGATACTATTAGGTCATTGATTTATTAATAAAAGCATTAACTTTTCTTTTTTTGAATATCTCAATTTAATTGCACAAAATCTCCTCAACAACCTTCTCAAACTTCTCACAATTCTGAAGAATTTTGTTCAATTAACTTTAAAATAATTGAGTTATTTTTTAGACACGTAATATACTAGAATGTTGGCTCATTTTTTTTAAAAAAAAAAAAAAGAAAAAGGTTTCAGTAATTTAAGGGATTTAATGTTATTCCAAGGAGAAATGTGTAAATTAGTTATACTTCATAAGGGAAAATGTATAGCTTTTTTTCTTTTTCTTTTTCTTTTTTTTTAAATATAAAAGTAAAAAAATGTATAGCTAGGCTACATTCCTTTTAGTTGGTGTATTCTACCTATTGTTCTTTATTCAGTTGTCCTATCTGTGACTGTTTTTGAACATAATATTTTTAAATTTAACCCATTTTAGGGGTTATTCATTATTTATTGTACTATGTCTTTCTGAATAATCTACTTGCAAATTGTAAATCATTGCCACGAAATTTCCAAATTAATCCAAATATATACATTCATTCTTTTGATTGCCATCTAGTGAGATTAAGACAAGAACCAGAATATAAAAAAAAAAACATTTTGTTTTGAATATATATACTTGGATTCACACAAGAGTCATTACATATATATATATTGGATACTTAGTTTTATTATTCTTTTTTTCAACATTTTCTAAATGTCCGAGTAGTTTGACTCATTCTTTAATTATAGTTCGTGTTGAGTTGTACACTAATTCATCAAAGCGGTACTGTTTGATACACCGATTCATTAAAATAGTACTATTTAATGTACTAAATGTACCGTATGATCCCTTCCACATGAAATAATTTAAATTGTTTTTCTTCAAACTAGTTCAAAGAAGTGGAAGTCATAAAATTTCTAATATATATGCCCCTCCACACGTGAAACCAAAATTATAATTATATTAACATGTTAATTTATTTTTTGAGTGCCAGTATCGAACGGTAGTGTTTCCAGTTGGGTATTGTAAAAGTGGGGGCTGATTCTAGATGAAAACCATATGTTTATATCATATTATTATTATTATTATTTGATTACAATTAATTACATATGAAAGCACATAGATGTTTCTTTTTCTGGTCTTGCACGTAGACAATTGACTCAGTTTATGATGGTGTGGGCACAAAAAAAGGTGTAACAAATGTAGGAAAATAATCATCCAAATTCTAAAAGTCTGTAAGTCATACTTTTACCATTCAATTGCAGATTCAATTGACATTGAACAATATTCTACTTCCACCTAAATTCAATGGTCTTTTGAGAGTCAAAAATCCCATTTTTTGGTGTAGAAGTTTTTCAGGAATTTTATGTTCAGCTTAGAGAGGAAATTTCTTGGAAACCTAATGCAAGAAAATAATAGTGCTCTCCTTTTCTTTTAAGTTTTTGAACAATTGTATTTTCATTTGGGTCAATGATTGTGGTATTAGGCCTCTTAAAACACCTTGTGATTCATGATCGGGCACATACAGTCTCCCAACTCTTATTCTCGATGCATTAAGCAATTATCAAAAAATTTATCCGAACCTGACCCAAAAAAACAAAGTTCTTGTTCTTTGCTACCATTCAATAGAAGTGGAAGAATCTATTACGTATATAGCAACCTTTATCTTTTCATTGCATTGTTTTCCCTAAAAACATGGTTCCATATATTTAAGGTTGTCTCAATAATGATTAAGAGTTTGTAACTCTACCAATGATGGAAAAAAAGTATATATTATATTGATTTATATTTGAAATATATATATATAAACAAACAATAAGTATATATTATAATGATTTATATTTAGGGTGTGTCATGGTTTGATTTTTACGAAAAATAAGAAACATCTATTAATTGAACAGAGATATAAAAACATTACATTATTGATTCAAAGAAAGGTGTAGGACTTTTGCGTGGAATAGAAGTTCAAATTTTTGGAAATCTCTAGAAGAAGTTGTGGGCGTCTCCTAAATGTTAGAATAATTAATTAAATCCTTTTGTCACTCATTCTTCATTCAGCTGATAATTATTATTTTTTTTTCTTTTTGGTCATAATAATAATTAACGGATCAAAAATAGTTCGTTATATAAAAATGAAATTACTACGCGTTGTGTGTCTTTCTATATTATAGTTTTTATCTATGATTTTAAAATCAAACTATAATAATTAAATTTCACATAATTTATATAAATATTGAAATTACAATGAAAGTCGGTCATGAAAACATATTTCATGCTAACTTATTTATGTTAATTAAAGAAAAATAATAAGTAATACAAGAGTTTGACACATCCCTACTCACATAGATTTAGTATAATATATCTAACTTTCAAACTTAAATTGCCATCTATATTTAATTTGTTATAATTCTCAATATAACACCGCTTTAATACGAGAGCTTGTGGAACTAGAGCATTATTTCATGTCAATACTTGAAAAATGTCTGGCTATAAGAAATGTGAATTGATGGCCTAAATGAGTGCAATGCCATGTAAAATGGTGGCACCATATGAGGATATTCACATATAATTTAAATCATCATTCATAATTGCAGTGTAACGGGTTCGGACAAATATCGGTGTAAACTAATCAAATCGATTGATTCACGAAGATGTATAATGATATTGAACTCTTGAAAAATAATTACGAACCGACCGCCGATACGACAAATTCAAATACTGATGGATTAGCAAATTTGTTATGACCAGATACAATGACTAATAGATTAATAACTTTTTTTAGAAAAATAATACTAATAATAAATCCTTCAAAGGCAAGCAATTTCAAAACCTTAGAAAATTTATGCGACTTTGATGAATTGGAAGGTAATCAAAATTTCAAGAATAATAATAATATATTAGTGACTAAAAAAAGATTCCGCAAGCAACCCATTAGACATGTACACACACTAAAACAAGATCACTATGTGCCTCACTTACGTACTAATTATAAAAAAGGAACCAGTCAAAGTGCTAAAATATTCCTCAAACAATCAGAATGTGACAATAACAACAGATTCTATACATAAAAATAAGTATCAAAGTTTGGGTTATTTTTAATTTAATTCACACTTTTGATGTTGAGTTAACTAAACACTCCATTGCTCCAATTTGTTATACTAGAATCGGGAATCAGTCAAAGTAAATGTCAATTCTGCGGTAGGTTTAGGGTATATATATATATATGTATAACTATATATTTTTAATCTCAATTACCAAATACTACTAGTCGATAAGGTATAGAAAATAAATCTGACCAAGTCCTGTAAACAAAAAAATAGAAATTGGCACATATATATATATAGTGTAATCTATAACACACACATATATATGAAAGTAACCAAAGCAATATATTAAATGTGGCTTAAAGGGAATCAAAACGTAGCAAGTGGGAAATGGACCCGTGAACGTGTTGGTGCACGTCAAGCTTTCACGTTGTCTTCTTGCTTGTGGTGCATGTCTAGACTTCATGACCGTTGATCTGTTGGGAAACGTGCAAGTTTTAAAAACTTTTCGAGGGATTTTGATTCATAGATCTTGATTCATCACATAGAGACAAGTTTTATGCAAAAATAAAAATATGATGTATCATTCAATTAATGGATTGAATACTTACATCAAAGGTCTGAGTAAACCTTTAAAACATTCCTCTAAAGTGAATGTTCTCACTTATTGTAGATCCCTTAGCAAGATACCTTCTCCTTGGATCTCCATCTTCTTGGTAATTATTTTGCTTTTAGAAATCACTCATAAGCCTCCATGAATTACCTTGGAAAACTAGGCTTGTAGGAGCCTCCATTAGATGAGAACATAAACCTTAATTTTCTAGAGAGAGAAAATATTTATTCCTTTTTCCTTCTACTAAAAATCACCCCTAAAATATACATAGACCATGTATATTTATAGGCAACATAAAGATAAAGAAAAGGAAACAACTAATCCTTCTCAATCTCTAATTCACATGTCTCAAATCTAATATGATTCCAATATCAAGTTGGGCTATGAGTGAGAATCCATTGGGTCTATTATTTTATTGGCTACAATGAATTAATAATTGGCCCGGTCCATGGACCCAATTCAATTAATTCATAAATTAATTTCTACTCCACTAAAAGAAATTAATTGAACTCCAATTAAATAATAAATAACCACTAAGTCAATATTGCACTTTGACCCCTCTATGCATAATTAGTTATCGGATAAATAATGCCATCAATCCGACTACTTAATTAATATATTTATTTTGGTACCTCTGATTATTTCTGACTCGATCACAATAAAACATTTGTTTGACAAAAATAATAATTTAAATAAATAAATATATAATAAATTATTTTGTCTAAAACCACACGAAGGCCTTCGAATTTACTTTGTGATCAAACATAATCAATACAAAATAAATACAAGTAGCAATGATGCAAATATTGAAAATATAACCCTCTAACTATTAATTACATAACTACCCAAAGTGTCGGTCTAAGGATCCCGAAGAATCCGCCGAACAAATCAAAGTAATTATTAATTAATAAAAGAGTGTATACTTTTCTCATGCTTAAGAGTCAAATGCCATGACGGTGATAGAGAGTAATTGCATACGACGGCTCTCGCAATATATCTCAACCTAACGCGGATCCAATTCAAGTCTTAATTAATTATGAGTCCATCCATAATTACCGACTATGAACAATTTATAATTACTATTTATATATCATGCATTGATTGCCATCACATACATATATATAAATATTTCTTGTAATTACATGGACACTATCAATTTCATAGTGAATCGAAACATAATACATTGAATTCACCAATTATATAAATCATAAATATTTCAGATATGTCAGGAACATATGTCACTATAATTCAGATAGGAATTTGCTATGTCAGGGCATATAAATCCCAACATGATCAACGCCGTTGATTCAATCATGCTCACGCAGTATGACGAACTCAAACTTGAGCTATCCCTTACTTATTATTATTATTTTTTTTGAAAAATTTAATTAAACATGTAGTATTGCTGGGCTGTCAAACAAAACATCACACGTTGTGAGGTGGGAGTAGCAAGTGGAGTGAAATAGCCACCATCTGAGGGTGGGGCTCACTGCAAAGAATTTTTGGATAAAAAATTTGACTTTTTGCATAAATATTAAATATCCATTGAATCTAATTAGAGTACCTCGTAAGCATGGACACTCAGATGGAATACCACACGAAATAATTATGTTGATACGTTAAATTTTAAAACCATAAAATATGGATACAACTTAAACACGACCATATATAAATATAAATTTTTATTTATATATATGTATTGAGTATTAATTTTATGAAATTTTAATTTATTTTTAATTTTTATAATAAGAATTGTAATGACTTTATATCATATTTACAGTTATTCTCTTTGTCAAAATAATATTTTTATTTTAAATAAACAAATATCATTTAATACTTTACTTGTGGTCATTCGTATATAATGTCAATTTTTATTAAAAGAAAAAGTTGAAGACTTTAGAATGTGTTTATATTATTTTTAATATTATCGGATAAGCTTGTGTTCGAAATGTTTGAAAGTGTCGGCTTCAATGTTCAAGAAGTGTCAACCCTCCTTACAAATCACAAGGCTCACAGGTAATGTGATACCCTTCGTATCCGAAAGTGTCCAAATAATAATATTTTATTTTATTTACGGATACGTATATGAAGTGTCGGACATATGTCCAAGGAGTGTTCAACACAAGTACGGCTCCTTTGTAGAAGTGTCTGTGCTTCATAGATGTTACGTTTCAAAAAAAAAAAAAAAATGGTTTTGTTTGTTTTGTGGAATTAGTGGAAAAAGGAAAAAAGAAAATGTGATTTCCCTCTAATTTTCTCATCTATTTATTGTAAATTAATTTTCTTAGAATGTTTGGAATAAGAGCAAAAAGAAAACTAATATGCAGAATTAAAAATACCTTCTTTTCCCATGTTTTGTTTTTTCACTCGAATGTTCCATTTGTAATCAAACAATTAATAAGGAAATTGAGTGAATTCTCTTGCATTGTCTTTTCTTACAGCTCCACTTAGTTCTTGAACAAAATGGAGCCCGACGGACAGGGTCGGAGCCAGGATAAAAGATAGGGGGGAGGGGGGGGGGGGGGAATAAATTTTGGAGGATAATAGTATAATTTTTTTAGTAATTTTAATAAAGACTAATGTAATATTATTGAAAATGAACATATTATAAGGGTATATTACTAAAAAAAAAAATTAGTGGGGGCAATTGCCCCTAATGCCTTCAATATAGATCCGTCACTACCAATCGATCAATTGTGTCCTTACATAATAGTGTGTGATTGTTTATATATGTGTGTATGTGTGTATAAGTTGTATATTTGATTTTTAAATATACACACATAAGGCAGACCCAGAACTTTAGGTAAGAGATGGGACAAGATTGAAATTTTGTAATAATTTTAGGAGGTATTACCAATATTTTATAGGTATATATTACAGAAAAAAAGAGCATGACCGAAAAAAAAAAAAAAAAAAAAAAAAAAAACCATTATATGCCCCCCTTCACTAGCTTGCACGTATGTCCGTCTCCGTACACACAAACACATTTGTTCTTCTGCATCATGAAAAAATGATCATTATTTTTCCAAAACAGTGGGGATATAAATGGTTAATGCTGATATGATATTTAAAAGAGGGAAAGAGCTATAGACCAAATCTGTCCCTTTGATCAAAGGGAAAAAAAATAAAAATAAAAAACTTACCGTAACGTACCATCCTTGTACCATTGCATATGAGCTATTTTTATTAGTTTTGTGTGACTAGATCAAAATATATGTCTTCACGCCAAAGTTTATGGTTTAATAGTACTTTCGGGATAAAGATTGAAGGTGGGTTTTTGACCTTTTTTGGCTAGTGAATATGTATATAATGTGTGTATATATATATGTGTGTGTGTGTTTTTGCAAAGTGTCATATTCTCTTTGTCAAAAGATTAAATAAAAAAGCAACTAAAAAGTAGTTGAAATTAAGTGAGATTAAAGAAGTTGACATAGAAATTAAGTGAGATTAAAGAAGCTGACATAAAATATAAGATATGGGTAACAGGGTAAGACATGCCAGCATTAGAAAGTTACCGTTTTTCAAAAGAGTTCGTAAAACAATAATATGTATAGTTAATGAAGAGATCATTATAAAATAAGGATTTAGAAAGACTTTTTCACCAAGAATTTAGTGTAATTAATAATAAATGAATGGTTGTATAACTGAGTTTCGACACTGCCAATTTGCCACGACTCACAGCTCTCCTCATGGGGGCACCAATATTTATGTGAATTACACAACGTGCTCCCCACACATCATGTGAACACTCGACCTTTTTGTGCAGTCATTTAACTGCACCAAAAAAAATAATAATAATAAAATAAAATAAAATTAAAAAACAACTAAGAGCCTCCTCCTCTATCACAAAAATCAGAGAGTTGTATTCATTGTTAAAAGGCCCATTGATTTTTGCATCATTCCTGGCCATATTGATAATAGTGTTGCAGTTGTGGTAAAGCCCAGGCCATATAACAATTGGGCTTAAAAGCCCGAGTTGAAGAATGGAAAAGGAAAACGAAAAGAAAAGAAGTTCAAAAAATTGGGGCATTCCGAGAATTGAACTCGGGACCTCTCGCACCCTAAGCGAGAATCATGCCACTAGACCAAATGCCCTTCAATGTCAGTTGTTTAGACAAAATAAATATAATAATTATATATATTATAAAATCAGTAATATATATAATTATATATATTACAGTATCATCAATTTCTCATCACTCAAGTGTAGGAGAACCTAATAAATCCTTCTTTCAAGTAGTGTGATTATAATGCAAAAACACTTGCAAAGGGTAAAAATTTGTGGTGGTTCATTATAAATACATCGAATGAAACAAAAATTAATTCATATCCAAGTTTTTTATATTCATTATTTTACGTTAAAATTTCCTCTTAAAATTCTTATTATTGTGCTAGAGCAAATTCCCATTAAAGTCAAATGTAGTATATAAGAAGCAACTAGAAACTATGGCCAAAGAAGACAAATTAAATAATTCAAGAGGATATATATAGATAAAATTCTTGCCCTCCTAGTGATGCCTCTTGGGGTTAGTGGGGAATGGGGAGACTTTTACTCTTGGTGTGATATTTTTTGGGCACCTTAGTGCTAGTGGTCCCATCATCCAAAATTCTGGCCTTCAGCAGAAAAAAATGAAATGCCCCTCTCCGTCCTCGCAATGACTTCTCTTTCTCTATTGCATCTTATGTGGCCTCACCCACAGGAGCTATGGCTCGTTGGAAAAATATTTTATAGTTAAGAGTTAAGTCACGTAATTTTTTTAAATTGGGTGTGTTTTTATGCTTTACTATTATTTTCACTTTACGCGATTTAGACGTTGTCGTTTTGGTGCTATTGCACTGGTTCTTGCTTTCGCTCCCTTTCTGTGTGACTAGGTTTAAAGGCTTCATTATCTGAAATGATGTAAATCTTTGGATGACTATTATGGGCAGAAACCATCCAAGATAAGCTTGTTCAGATGGAAAAGTTGAACAACATGAACTGCTTATTTTCTAGAAATTTTTTTTTTGAAAACCGAAAGCACATGTCCTTCAAATGCTCCCTGATTACAAGAATGTGTGTGTTTTTATTCTCTGGATTTGATAAGCTTGTGGGGACAACTCTCCTTAAATCTACGTACTGTGATAAAGTTGAGTGTGACTGCTCTGGTGAAGGGAAAGAAATGAGAAAATTCCACTCTAATTCCTCTACATTGATGTGGGTTTGTCTTCAAGGGAGAATTATGGACATTGTTAAACTGAAATTGTGGTCCGATCGAGTTTAGTGCTTCCCAAGATGGGCTGTGGCTGCAACATGAGTGGGGCCTTCTGTATTCTATCTTCTCAACAATGGAGGCTTTCGTTTTTTGTTTTGCTCTCCACGGCTATATCCCTCGTGTGTCTGTTCGCCTCAAGAGGTGTTACTGCTTATTGGTCTTTTTGTTTTTTTTTTGGATTGGTTGACATGGGATGTATTGAGGTTCTTACACATACAGACATATAAAAAAATATATATTACATGATTTTGGTCTACCACAACCTCAAATGTTGACATGATAAATTGTGAGGGCACCGTACAACTGGTACATGTTATTTCTTTGAATGATATTCACATCTTACTTACCAAAAATAAAAATAATAAAGCACTTGCCAACAATGGAGCTAGCCCACAAATAAAAATTAAAAACACTCATCAAACTCCATTAATATATTCAATTAATATACTCCAAACTCTTCTGGATTTGCTGGATCAAATAGTAATATTGAAGCATGTGGTATGTAATGTGATCCAATACAAGTCAAAAGTGAACACAGTGCCATTGTGGGATTTGATGATGCCTTTGAGTGAGGGAGAACCAAAGCCATTAAAAAAGGTTCTTTTTTCTTAAAGGCCGTTTTTTTTTTTTTTTTTTTTGTACCGTTGAGGTTGACACGTGTCGCCAATCCTAGCCATCTGTCTTCATCAATCTCTTTGGATTCCCTCCCTTATTATTCCTTGTTTGTTTGCTCCGGTTTCTGTGTTTTAAGGGAAAGAATACAATCCCATCCCCCTCCTTCACTCTCTCGCTCTCTCTCTCTCTCTCTCTCTCTCTCTCTAAAAACCCGTGATCCTTCGTCCTCAATCCACCAGAATAACAGAATTCCACAAATACCATCCCTATATTTTCTAATGGGTTATCCCCAAAACTAGCAATGTCGTCACTTTCCTATGAATTTTCTGGCATTATCTTCGTAACTTTTTTTCTGTTACTCTGTTTTTCGGGTAATGTCGTCGGAACAACCGAATTCGACTTCGGAACGCTAACTCTCAGTAGTTTGAAGCTTCTCGGCGATGCTCACTTGAGCAATGGGACTGTGAGGCTCACTCGTGACCTCGCCGTCCCCAACTCCGGCTCCGGCAGAGTTTTATACTCTAAACCCGTCAGATTCCGGCAACCGGGCAGTGACACGCCGACGAGTTTCTCGACTTTCTTCTCGTTCTCCGTCGCGAACCTGAACCCATCTTCGATCGGTGGTGGTCTGGCCTTCGTCATCTCGCCGGACGACGAGACAATCGGTGGCGCCGGCGGGTTCCTCGGGCTCATGGACGATAAGGGTACTCCGAACGGCGTCGTTGCCGTCGAATTCGACACTCTCATGGACGTGGAGTTCAAAGACATTAACGGAAACCATGTGGGTTTGGATCTGAACTCCATGGTTTCTTCACAGGTCGGTGATTTGGAGACCATCGAAGTTGATCTGAAAAGCGGCGACCTGATCAACTCGTGGGTCGAGTACTCCGGGTCGACCCGGGTATTCAACATTTCAGTCTCCTACTCCAATCTCAAGCCCAAAGAGCCCCTTTTATCATTCAATCTCGATCTTGATCAGTACGTGAATGATTTCATGTTTGTTGGGTTCTCTGGGTCGACTCAGGGTAGCACTGAGGTTCACAGTGTTGAGTGGTGGAGTTTCAGCTCATCTTTTGATGTGAATTCCAAGTCTGGGCCATCATCATCACCGTTGGCGGCGGAGGTGCCGCCACCGCCACCTCCAACGGTCAATTTGATGAATCCAACGGCTAATTCTATAATCCCAACACCACCTTCTATGGCTCCTTCTGAGTCTAATAGTACCGCAATACAAACCCAACAAAAGAACAGTAAGTGCCATAACCAGTTGTGTAAACAAGGCCCAGGGGCTGTGGCTGGTGTAGTAACAGCCGGTGCATTTGTTTTAGCATTTTTTGCTATCTTATTCATTTGGGTATACTCTAAAAAGTTCAAGAATGTCAAACCTCCGGAAACAATGACCTCGGAAATCATCAAAATGCCTAAAGAATTTAGCTATAAGGAGCTAAAATCAGCTACAAAATTCTTCAATTCGACCCGAATTATCGGGCATGGTGCGTTTGGGACAGTGTATAAGGGTATATTGCCGGAGACCGGCGACATTGTGGCGGTGAAGAGGTGTAGTCATAGCGGTCAGGGGAAGGCAGAGTTCTTATCTGAGTTGTCCATAATTGGGACACTTAGGCACAGAAATCTTGTTAGGCTTCAAGGTTGGTGCCATGAGAAGGGGGAAATTTTATTGGTTTATGACATGATGTCAAATGGCAGTCTTGACAAGGCATTGTTTGAATCTAGAATGCCTTTGCCATGGCCTCATAGGCGAAAAATTTTGATGGGTGTTGCTTCTGCATTGACATATTTGCATCAGGAATGTGAAAACCAGGTGATCCATAGGGATGTGAAGACTAGTAACATAATGTTGGATGAAGGGTTCAATGCAAAATTAGGCGATTTCGGTTTGGCGAGGCAAATCGAGCACGACAGATCACCGGACGCGACGGTGGCAGCCGGGACAATGGGGTACTTGGCTCCTGAGTATTTGCTGACAGGGAGGGCTAATGAGAAAACTGATGTGTTTAGTTATGGGGCTGTGGCGCTTGAAGTGGCTAGTGGGAGGAGGCCTATTGAGAGGGAGTCTAGTGGGGTTGGGAAAGTTGGGGTTTGTAGCAATTTGGTGGAATGGGTTTGGAGTCTGCATAGAGAAGGGAGGTTGTTAATGGCTGCTGATTCAAGGCTCGGAGGTGAGTTTGAGGAGGGAGAGATGAGAAGGGTGTTGTTGATTGGGTTGGCTTGCTCTCACCCTGACCCATTGGTTAGACCTACAATGAGGGGTGTGTTCCAAATGTTGGTGGGTGAGACTGAAGTCCCTATTGTCCCAAGAACAAAGCCCTCTATGAGTTTCAGCACTTCTCATCTCCTATTGAGCTTGCAGGACAGTGTGTCTGACATAAATGGTTTGATCACTATCTCCACCTCCTCTTCAGAACACAGCTTCACTGGGGGTGTGGAATTCAAGTAGTCTGATTCAAATGAATGAGTAATGCTACGGGAATTCAACAGTCGGATAATTCCGGTCGTTTTTATGTGAATGGGACATTTTCGTAACGTCAGCCCCACATTACTCACATCAAATAGTCGGATTAGTCCATTAGTCCGATCAATCGGCCGTTTTTATGTTTTTATGCGAATGGGACCGTTACGTAAAGTCAGCCCCACATCACTCGCATCAAATAGTCGGATTAATCCGTTAGTCGAACCATGTTATTTTGTGTTGGAATTTTATAATCCTTGTTTATTAACTCATATATATTATTCATTTGTTTATTATGTATGTAAAACACAATAACATAGAATGTATGCCCAAGGTCTAGGGACTTGATTTTGAAACCATTTTTTTGTGTAATCATTCTATACCCTCGTTTTTTTGTTTTGCAACTTAGTAGTGTGTTACAATACAGTAACAAGAGACAAGATGACAATGGTGGGAGTCATTTTATTGCTGTGGGTTGGAAAGCTTTTCTTTGTGATTGAGTGAGTGAGTGGTGGGTTGGGGATGTTGCTTTTACAAGCAATCGCATTGTCAAAAGCATACTTCAGTTTGAGTAAAGGTTTGGTGAAGCATAGTGACAAAAGTATTGCATTTTTATAATCAACTTTTTTTTAGTTCTTTAATGTATCCTTTTAATTTGTTCTTACTTATCTTGATTTCTTTCTTAATTAAACGCATTTCTTTTGTCTTAAAGTTGGATACCTTCACCGGCAATTTCTTTCCTTCTGTCATTCATCACATATATGATATGCATATACCCACCCAATCATCTATAAAAATTCAAAGAATCATAGAATTTGAAGTACCCAAAATTACACACAAATATATATATATACATATATAGTATGTGTATATTGAAAGAGAATTGTGTTATACTCCACCATCATAGCACTATTTAGGCTGCTCACCATGATCAATTAATGTTTGAAATTTAGCATCTTTCAGCCGACAAGATATAGCTAATGAAAGCAACCAACGTGGAGGAAAAACTTGAATTTATGTTTGGTACGTGGGAATGATATTCAACTTGACTTTGAAGTTCGTATTCATGGAAGTGATGTCACACTCTCAACTTTTGTGAAACATTTTCTGAAGCTTATCCTAACTAATTTAAGTTGTCAGATGACTCTTTTAAAAAAATGAAACGGATTTCAATAAATTAAAAAAAAAAAAAAAAAAAGGGAAAATTTTATGGAATAAAATAATCAAAAATAAAATATAACGAAAGATATATAAAGAGGTATATTAAAGACATAAATATTTTGAAAAAGAAATAAAAGGTCATTATTTTATGAGTGTCGGTCTTTGGTTTAGTTATTTGTCTCCGTTGTGGAGATATTTTGACACAAGTACTGGACATTATTGTAGAGAGCGAGTGATTACATCAAATTCGAAAATATGCTTTCAAGTTGTCAATTTAGAAACTTCATTACCGATCAAGTTGTCATTCTGAGCTTTCACATTCTAACATATAACAGTAATCATTTTAACCTTTTTCTCAACTCCTTCATGATTATGCTTTTGACTTCGAGCCTTTTAATCTTCATTAAAACTAAAAGAAAATTGATGGAGGAGAGAACTAGCTAGCTTCATGAGAACAAACTCATCATTATAGAATCCTAACACCCGTTTTTTTTTTGACAATCTTACACATCCATCTTTAACTATATATATATATATATAATGATTTGTCGGAGGATTTTTTTTTTTAGTCTGATACACAAGTCGTATTTATCATTTTACACTAATTTTGTCCGAATTGATTATACCGCAATCACAATCACAACCTTATATATTGCTCAGATAATATTACAAATACGCGACCAAATGACCCATCTTCAGCACCATGTCAGATCTACATAAAAGTGAATGGCCTCCAAACCACTCCTCAGTTCTGAGCTTTCAAGTCGATTAGTTTTATGACATTAAATAAATGCATGCAACCCAAATCCCCTGTGGTTTTTGAGAGAGAGTTGTACAAGCCAAATCGACATGCATATCCTTTTTATTTATTTTTTAGTATTCCTTTATTATATTTAATTGCTTTCAAGAAAAGTGAAACTAGATATAATATTTCTTCTGGTAGTATTTAAAAATTAAAAAATTAAAAAAATCCAAAATGGGCAAATTACAAAATATTCTGCAACGAAATTTTTTTTTGGTTTTCTTTTTTGCTTTGTTGAGGGATTGTATTAATATTCCTAACCTGACTAGTAGTGCTGTACCAATAACACTACGGTGCATTTGGTTAATTAGGACTGAAAAGATAGATTGAAAATAATAAAGGAAAACAATAGTTTATTATTTCTTAATTTCCACAATTAAGAGTGAAAAGATAGATTAAAAATAATAAAGGAAAACAATAGTTAAATACTTATTTCTTAATTTCCACAATTAAGGCAAGACAATTAATTGTCCTCAGCTGACTAGTAGTGTTTGTATCGTAGTTGTACCAAGAAGACAAACGGTGCATTTGGATAATTAGGGCTGAAAAGATTGATTGAAAATAATAAAGGAAAACAATAGTTAATTACCAGAAAGAAAAAGGAAAGAAAATTGTTTACCCTCATGTTCCACAAATAGAAAAGAAAATTGATAGAAGAAGCAGAAGAGAGCTAGTTTCAAGAGAAAAAAAATCTAATAAGAGAATCCGAACACCCTTTTTGACAATTTTACACATCCATCTTTAACTATACATATATATTTATATATAGATAGATACATATATATATTACAGATTCATGATCAAATGGCCCATCTTCAGCACCATGTCAGATCTAGAAAAAAGTGAATTGCCTCCAAACCACTCCTTAGTTCGACCTTTCTAGTGATTGGTTATTTCATGTTCATGTTTTACGACATTAAATTAATGCATGCAAGCTAGAGGCCCAGCCACAATATCGGCTTTTTTTTATTTTTATTTTTATTTTTATTTTGGAAGCAATAAAGCTAAAGTTGTGTCCCCATTCAAGGATTCATTTTTTTTTTTTTTTTTTCAAGAAATTGACAAACCTGTTTGGGACACATGAGCTGCATTTTTTTGGAAGCAATAAAGCTAAAGTTGTGTTCCCATTAATTTTTTTCTTTTTTTTTTTTAAGTAAGAAATTGACGAACTCACTTATCTCTATAGAATTTTGTGTACTGTTTTATATTTTTAATTTTTTAATAATAAAAAAATATTTTCATAGTTATAAACCAAACAGACACGTAATATATTACAAAATATTTACAAATTCATGAGACAGGTTAACAACTAGATCTTTAATTATTTTAATGTGACCGGAGTTGAGGGTTGACAAATAGGCTTCTGATTATTTTAATGCAATTGGAGTTGACGTTATAATCCAACCTTATCACGACGCTAGCCTCACCCACGTCAAATCATTCAAGTATGAACAAAAACAAACACATTGTCACAACTTGTAGTATATAATATATAAAAGTCCCATTTATATATAAGAATTTCATGCTTGAGACAGAAGTGCTGCATTTTATAAATTTTATCCAACGAGAAGCAAAGAGTGTGATGATTTATAAATGTTGTGAAATGTGCACTTTACCTGCCAAATCATATGATCGATCCATGAAATTGTTGTACACAAGTTCCACAGAGAATCTTGTCTTGTCAGGTCTCATTTAATTTTCTAGGTTCCCAATCTTCTCTGCACCACTGCTTATTTGCTAAAAAAGGATCTACTTAAGAAAATAACAAGTTGAGTACTAATTTATTTCATATAAAATAATGGTTTATTTGAAGTTTTAAATGAGTTCACGTGGTAGGTGATTTTGGACCGTTATGATATGATGGGCCTCATTCAGTGTACTGGTACCACGTGATGCAGCATTCTGAACCACCTGATTATAGTATGTTGGGTTTTGGCCTTCAGTGCAGAGACCGACCACGATGTTCTATGATTTTATAGACTGGCATGCTAGATATAGATCAAGGCCTGCACCATATTAAATTTTAATATCAACGATGTTTGCCGTCGCAGTATAATAGACTCAGGCAAATAAGAATATAAATCGGTCGAATCAGTTGATGTATAAAGGTGTATAACGATATCAAATTTTTAAAAAAAATTACAAACCAAACGATACGTCACGTATAGACCGTTATAATGAAACTTGAATTTGAACCAAGTCTGCCGAACACAATGCATCTCTCCCGACATTTGTTTTAAAATGCATACTCACACCAATAATAATTTATAGGCCCAACTCTTCATCTCTTCAACTCAAGAGTTGGGTTAGGCCGAACACTTTAGTACTGATGCGTGTAGTTTGGCCCAACTCTCCGGTTAAAGAGTTGGGCCTAAGTTAACTTTAACAAACACTTCCAATTCAAATTATAAATTTAGATGGATGTGTTATAGATTGTGTGTAACTGTGTATATAAAAATGATCTACATTCGTATTTTAAAAAAAAATTTACATCAAATATGGTGATATTTAGATATGATTTAAATATATAAAAAATTGTTACCAAACAAACATAATAATTATATTTAACCGTCGTATGAACAAGTTTTTTATTCACCTGTGTAACAAATCATTTATATGTATGCATATTAAATACTTTAATACGATGAACATGCTACTTATGTGAGGATTAAGACTAGGCATTTTATTAAGCCTACTCTTTTAAAATCTTCCCAATTCGAACCCAATTTGACAATTTATATATATATATTATCGTGCCAAAAACAAATTGACACACTCATTTTGAGATTTTGAATCCTTCACCTTCTATTCTGAAAAGCATTTCAAAAAGTGAAAGTTTTAATTATCTTAGTTTTTCCGGTGCAAACAAACCCGAAATTACTTTACATATATCAATAACTATTGAACTATTTTAATCTGTCCTTGAGTATTACTAATAGACTTTAATTTGTTTATAAAACATGACTCATCTCTCCCATTTATTTAACTTTCAACATTTGCAAAGCAAAAAAATATCATGAGGCCCTAATTCATGTAATGGTGTAATAGCATCAATAGTCCCTTCATTTTTTTTAGATTGATTATGCAACAATAAATATGCTTCTAATTGTTAGAAAGAAAATCCTATAACAATCCTCTACATTTATAATTTTGTGTCAAAATTTTAGAAAACTATATCTCACATATGTCAAACATTTATCATATGCCTCCACTTGCTATGTAACTAATCTAGTATGCCTGATTTACTTGACAAGGTTATCTCATTTCAATATAATTTGATATTATTTATTTGAGTTAAAAAAAAAAAAAAAAAAAAAACTTGTTATATACAATATGTGCAAATAATTTTATTGGTGTTAAAAACAAAACTCTTACTTTTTTTCAAATTTAACAAATAAAGACATTTTGTCAATTTAAAGTCTAATATATTTAAAATGCTCTTAAGACAAAATAAAAATAAATAAAACTTACTTCAACTTTTAAGGGTATATTAAGAATATTTTGAGATTTTTATAAATAAAAAAAAATTGATCAAATTTTGGTCAACAAATATTAGGAAGCAATATGCACATGTTTTCAAAATTGATCAAATTTTACATGTTTTTATTATTATTATTATTATATATAGCAGGGATTTTTTGCGCTTTACCTCATTTATTTATCGAAATAGTGTCAATGTTTTTTTTCCCCAACAAACTAAGGAGAGAGACAACTCGAACACCGCTATGATTGAGTTTGTAAATTAATTTCATACTTCAAAGTTTATGACAATTAACTTGAGCAATTTAAAATTATTTTGGTAGCAAGTATCCCATTATAAATTAAAGGGCAAAGTATAGAAAAACCCCCTCAACTTGTAACATTTTTCCAATAAACCCCTCTCGTCTATTTTTTTGACCAAAGAACCCCCATCAACTATCTAAAGAGGAAAAAGAATTGATATTTGGACAAAAATACCCTTTTATTTAAATCTTAATTCTCACAAACCGTCCATTTAAAAAATAAATAATATATGCACGGGAAGATTATGAAATAAGGATTCCAGAAATATAAGATTTGTATAACAAACTTCATAACAAGAGAGAAATAGACAATTTAAAAATCAACTCCAATAATCTTATTTTATTTTAAAAAACTCGATATATTTGCAAGAATTTTTAGAATTATTCATTTATATATGGAGCCAAATATAGAAAAAATTTAGCCCCATAGTGATCGATTTCATGAGATATTATATTTTGCGTCAAAGTATTTTTATTTTTTTATAGACTCACCATTTAAAAAATAAATAAAAATGAATAATCAGTCTCTGTTGGAGCTAATTTTTTTTATATATATATTATGCTCCACATGAAAATGAATAATTCTGAAAATATTCTTGCAAATAACCCGAGTATTTTATAAAAATAAAATAAAATAAGATTATTGCAGTAAAATTTTAAATTGTTTATTTCTCTTTGTTTATGAAGTTTTATTAAATAAATCTTATATTTCTGGAATCCTTATTTTATAAGCTTTCCGTGCATATATTATTTGTAATATTTGGATGTACGGTTTGTGATATATGAATTTTTGAAGTTCAAAAAAATTAAGATTTAAATAAAAAGATATTTTGATCCAAATATCAACTTTTTTAGTTGAGGGGGTTATTTGGTAAAAAATTAAACAAGTGGAATTTATTGGAAATGATTACAAGTCGAAGGGGGTTCTTTGATACAAAATAGATGAGAAAATTTTATTGAAAAATGTTATAAGTCGAGAGGAGTTTTCTGTACTTTGCCCTAAATCAAATGATAAAATTATTCTCAAAAGTGGATTGTAAAACAAAATAAGTGTAAGAAAAGTGGGGTATAGATCATTATTTCCCCAACAAAAATGCATAATTGACAAAGAATGAAATTCTATAAGTCAGTTTCATGAATATTAAAAACCTCCAGGGACCTAAACTTAATATTCACTCTTTCTGTTCTATTTACATTAATTGTAGCCTTTTATATTATTCTATATTTACTATTTAGTTCTCATATTTCGTTACTTCTGGATCAATCGGATCTTTATTGTTCAGCTTCGAAACATGGACGATTACGACGGCGAATTCGCTTATCACCCACCTCCATCATTCGATCGCGCGGTATATTTCTACAGATTTCAAAATCAATCTGTCTATTTTGCATTGTTATTTGCTAGATCTGTTATATATATATATATATATATATTAGGTCTCTGATGTTGTGATCTTGGTGTTGTACCTTATGTGGATCTAAACTCGGTCTTTTATGATAATTTTTTTTTTCTCTATAATTTCAGTGAATTCGAATTTTATTATCGTTTTCTGTTTATGGTATAGGTTGATAGATGTAGAGAACGATTAGAGTTTATTTGCATGCGCTTTTTAAGAATATTTCTTTTGATTTGTAAAATTTAAAGAAGATATCACGGGAAAGGATATGTTTTTTTATTCGAAGGGTGGGAAAAAACATTGATTTTAAAAAAAATGGATTTTTCCTTTCCGTGATTGATTTTTATAGGAGATTCAAGAGCTATTCGATTGAAGTTTCGGCATAAATTATGTAAATTTTTAAATTTCTTCTCTGATAAATACAATTTAATTGATGTTTTATATATGATTCTGGAAATAAAAATGAGGTTGGGGTTCTCTAGGTCAAATAAGGGAGTACAAGTGTTATTCAGTGTTGATATGCTCGGGTATTTTCTTTGGGCTTTTTTCTTTTTTCATTGTCTGCATTCCCAATTGAGTAATGTAACATGTTTATAATTGAGAAAACATCAATGCATTTATGTTATTAGTTGTTTGGGTAACGGGATTAAAGCTGTTATATACTAACAGATATTAGGTTTAGTGGAACTCAAAGCAAGAAATCCATGTGTCTCAGGCTTCACTTGTAATTGCATGTGTCCTACTTGTATCACCCAAAACTTGTTTATACTGTTATTGTTAGAATCTATCAATTGTGTCTACCAATGTGTGTTAAGGAAAAAAATTGTTTATTGTTCCACCTGAAACACTTGAATATCAACATCCAGGACATCCCACCCTCCTCTACAACTAAAAAGAAAAAATGTTTTGAAGCTTGAATTAAACTCTAAATTTGTGATTTTTGTTCCTGAAATATGAGATTGAAACATGATTAAATCAACATAAAAGTTTCTAGCACAAAAATACCCCAACTCACCTATATGAAATTTTTGTTATATATCTTTCCAAGGCCAAACCTTTAGTTTTATGGTGACATCAAACTGATATAAGGCAACATTTATATCAGAACATTGCAGTCTACATTTAGTTTTATGATGAGCTACAGCTGTAAAGGTTTCAAAAATTTAGGATTTAGAAAGGTGGAAAAATGGAAGAAAGGTTTGTAAAACTTGTAGAAGAGAGATACCGTAGATTTGAGGAAGATAAATTGTTGAAATTACAGAAAATGTTTTTAAATAGGCTAGATGTTAAGAGTGTATGCTATATGTTTCCATTTCTCTGTAATTCTTTAATTTGTTTTATTTTATTTTATTGGTAAATATTTGTTTTATAAAACTGATTGTTTATATATATTATTTTTCTTTATTACCCATTCGAGGGACCATTACCTTTCTTCTTGTTAGTGTGGATTTATAAAAAGATTTGGTACCCCTTTATGCAAATCATACCAAAGGCTTCATCTTATATTTTGTCTGTCCAACCCAGCATCTTTAATTTACAAGGACCATTGAGTAATGACCTCTTTTTAATAGTTATTATACATTTTTGAAGTGGATTTGTGAGGGTAAAAGGGAGAAAAACAAAAAATAGTTTCCAAAGGAGGCTTGTGGCGCTAAAAAAGTGAAGACTGTCTTTTCCAGTGGGTGTTTTAACCCACATCTAAACACTTTTCTTCCTATTTTCAGTCTCACTTCTCTGCTTGGGTTGAAAGGATTGCTGCTCTCGACCAATCTACACTCACACCTACCACTTGAACACCCACTAATGAACAACTGTGCTGGTGTGGTGCATTACCCAACTTGAACTTCAACAGAAAATATGACAGAACAACCTAATGTAACTTTTCTCTTACATTTGTCATTTATGAATGTACCATCAGATATAGGTTTTCTAAAGGAAACATGAGGAGATGAATTTTTCAGCTAATAGCCTCTTTAAACTAGTATATAGTTGACTCTATCAGAGTAGAATATTAAGTAGTTGGTTGCATGTTTTCTTTTTTCCTATTTTTGTTTTCCCAAGTTTGTCTTTCATTATTTGCCATCCGATGTGTTGTTGGAATGTGATAGACATTTACGTTTGCGATCAATGGATGAACAGGAAAAAGTGGTGAAGGATGTTGAAGCCAAAGGATTCAACCCAGGATTGATTGTGTTGATTCTTGTTGGTGGGCTACTATTGGCATTCCTCATTGGTAATTACGTACTCTACATGTATGCACAGAAGACCCTTCCTCCGAGGAAGAAGAAGCCTGTCTCCAAGAAGAAGATGAAAAGGGAGAGACTGAAGCAAGGTGTTGCAACAGCAGGAGAATAGAATTTGAGAGACTCTTTCCTTCTTTCATGTTGGGCTGTCATCTTTAGAGTTTTCATCCATTTTCATGTTTGGTACTATTGCCAAGAAATGGTTGCACTACAGTAATTTCTCTCTTTTTCTCTCACCATATTGGTAGAAGTTGAGAATTATAGTAGTGACTTCTTTTTCTGTCATCAAGAGATGGTTCCTTTCAATAATTGTGACTTCAATATTGAAATGAACAAGTTGAGGTAATTTATATTAATATGGGAGCTTCTTCTTCTTCTTCGGCTTTTTTTTTTTCGTTCTCCCATTTGAGAGTCAAATACAACATTGTTCATGCTTGAGAGTCTTTTAAGAAGAATAGATACGCAAGCATAAAGTCTTTCTCAAGAGCAAGACTATGACTAATTACAAGTACAGGGATTTTAGGAAATTCTGTGCGCGTCTGAGCACAATTTGAATTTTATTATAAAAAATTAAAAAATAAAATAAATAAATATAGAAGACGATTATCTAAATAAAGCATTTTTTGAATTCAATTAACTCTTTTCCGAATATGGTTTGCACAAGATGGTTTTAGAAAAATTGTAAATCAATTGAATGTTTGAAGTGTTTTCTATTTTTTTTTTTTTTTTTTTTTAAATATATTTTGATAACAGAAAGTGTTCTTGTAAACTTTTAGCCACTCCTATCTTCATTGATATATTAAAAAAAAAAAAAAAAAAAAACTAACAATTCACATTTGATTTTTGTAGTATATTGTGTTTAATTCCAATTGTTTGCAACCATATGATCTAGAAAATAGAAACCAATGCATCTATTCCACCCATCTACTACAATACCGGGCATATAAAATCCTCTGTTGTGGGCGCTATCTCAACTTTCTTCTCAATAAAGGAAAGGGGCCTTGATTAGAGAAGAATTTATAGTCTACATGAGCTCCCCTGTTCTAGGTAACAAGTTTCATTTAAATTCTATCTTTTAGCCTAGTAAATAAGGCCATTTTAAATACTGGACCTGTACAACATTCAGGTTTGAAGGCTCAATAACCACATGTTTATGGCGTTCAGAAAATTTGATGAACCAAAAATGATAATAAAGTAACCAGATTTATCTTGCAATCCAGGCTTCATTACAAAATACAAATAACAAATCTCCAAATACAATGTGCATTATAAACATAGCAGAGACAGTGGCTACATTTTCAGAGTAACTTATTTAGAAGTATGAGTAGCAAGCGAGTGGCAGACATTCAAGCACGGTTCAGAAACTTCAAGGACAGTTTCAAAATTACATATCAAACAGATGTACCATAATAGTATAGGTAGACTAATTTGTACTCCTAGGCCTTATCACGACCCATGGTCTGATCTCCAGGAGCTGTCATAACCAGGACAGGTTGGGCTTTAAACCCTGGATGAGGAAGCCTACGACGGAGCTCGCGACCTTCCTGGCAAAGGGCACATGTATGGCAGAAGATATGCGTTGCAAAGTCGCAAGCTGACTCGCATTGCTCACGTTGCGCCTCATCCTCCACAAAGCTTCCACAGCACCCACATGATCTTGTAAGTGCCTCACAACTACCCTGCTTGAGTCAACCGAAACCATGAAAGACAGTATTTTAATATATCAAAAACTCTAGGGCAAGGACAATACAAGGAATAAATTGTATAGAAATCAGAAAAAACAAGAAGTAGCTTGGGTGGTAAACTAAGAAGCACGGACACGGATACGACACAACACGGACACGGCGACACGGAAATCCAAAAAAATTAGGACACGAACACAGCAGGGACACAACGAATAATATATATATATATATATATATATATATATATATATATATATATATATGATGTAGTACTTTAAAAATTAATGAGTGTTACTATTTTTCATCAACCTCATAATGAAAAAAATACACAAATCATAACTCATCTACTGTAATAAATTAATAGTGTAATAACTGGCCCTTAAATATCTATTTGTTTTGTCTAATTGCATATTAACCTTACAAGTTTAAACTTATTATGTAATAACCACATAAGTGAGTAAAAGTTGTTAAATAACTTTACATATTTATACTTTAACCAAATTTTCTTTCAAAAATATCTTTTAGACCCCCGAAAATAAGACACGCGTGTCGGACGCGTGTTCGCGGAGTGTCCGTGTCGTGTCCGAAAATTAAAAAAAATAAAAAATTTCAGACACGTTTTTTGGCGTGTCCGACACGTGTTGGGGCGTGTCCGACGAGTGTCGGTGTCGGACACCTGGATTCTTCATCCATTTTGAAGTGTCTGTACTTCCTAGGTGGTAAATCAACTTAAGCCCATTTGAGAGGCTTTAATCATGTATTAAGTAAAATAAAGATTTGAAACCAAGTTGAGAAACCTTGGATGTTGAAGGAAGGCCAAAAAATGCCAAGTTTAATTTAGCGCAACTTGCAGGCTCTGACAATGATAAGAGAAGCTAAACAAGAGTAAGGAAATAATCTCGAGGATTGTTATACTTATTGATGCGAACCCCACCACCATAGTCTATCGAGAAAAGTGGCAATAGTAGTACACATATTGAATGGTTTGATGAATTGGTTCAGTAAGCAAGTTTAAATATGCATGCACCATACACTCTAAAGTTCTCTATCAATGTTCTACGACAATGGAACTGCAGACTGCACATGAATAGCCAATGTCAAAGACTTCTAGAATTTGAGTTGCTTAAACCACAAACATACGTATTTTAGAAGTTATAGGAGGTTAGTGACATCTACATATTTTCATTTTTAGGAATTCATTCAAACAAATTAAGATCAGTATTTTAACTCTGCCAATGTTTTTCTAGTCTTGAAAGCAAAGTCAACTGAACTTAGCCAGATGCCAGTTGTAAGGGCTGGCACATCATTATTAGAGAATATTATAGCATGTTCCATTGAAGAAAGTTCTAATATTAGTTAAAGTGAAGAAGAACATAACCACAAGTACACAACATATATATGTAATTGCTAAGAATCTAAACAGTCAACCCATGCAAAGTGAATAACAAATGAAGTAATTTGGAAACTTCAACAACCTTAAAAAAGAACATTAAAACTGACAGTTTACATAAGATGAAGGTCCAGGGCTTAGAAATGGAAAATAGAAACTTGCCTCTAGGTTGAACTTCCGGCGGATAGCTGTACGACTAGGATGTGAGAACCATGGTGCGAGGAAGTTCCAGCCGAAAAAAGAATTGCCAATCAGGTATAGACCAGAATAAGGTAAGCAGTGATTCATGAAATTCCCAGGCCGAGATCCGAGTCTCTCAGCATTAGTTCCATACAAAACACAGGGGGCCATACTTCCAAGGAGACCTACCAAGCATCAAGATTACAAATAGAAAACAAAGATTGAGAAGCATATGATGAATAGTGGTCAAGATGAAATGAATGAAATTGAAACATCATCATCATCATCCTTGCCTTACTCCCATATGAATGGGCCGACCACATGATAATTCAATATAAAAATCCAAAAGTAACGTAGCAAGAGAGAAAGGAATGATAAATCAGTTGATAACAACTGATCAAACATTTTAAATTTGCTTCAATTGAATAAACTTAGAAAATTGTTCCACAAATACAGGATCACTCATAAAAGCTAAGTAATACCATGAAACAAATAGGCAACTAAAAGTTTGCCCACACTGTCAACTTGATTTTTGGCCGTCTATCCACAAGTCAGACGCACATCTCCCACAAAACATCTGTGGATTTAATCATATCAAAGCTGAAACTTGGTACATCAGCCGCTACTGAAGGTGAAAAGTTTTTGCTAATAACTGATAAAATGAAACAATGACTCAAACATAGTGCAGTTCTCAAACCACATAAATAACTGATCCACTAAGTAACCCTTAGTCCTCATGCATACGATTCTGTATCACCCAATAAAGGCTCCCATAAGTATGTATGGAGTCAATTACTCTTCTATATATCAATCACTAATCCACTATACAATATACTTGAAGGGTTTGAAAATTAAGATTTCAGTTATAAAAGATAATCTTAGTACAACCACATCACTCCTAGTTTGGAAAGATCATCATTCTACTCATTAGAATTTAGTTGTCAGCAACTTACAAAAATAAATAAATAATAATCACTAGGGATATCAATTGTTTAAAACACACAAACACAAACACCTACATACATATATACATACAAATATATGGTGCTTATATAAATTTAGCGCAATACAAAAATCAATAATAACACTAGAATCCGATCAAATTAGTGTGAAAATAATCACATAAACATGTAATTCTTTAAACTCAGTCTATGAGCTAAAACAAATGCCAATGTATAAACAAAACTCACAAACTTGCTCATCGTTGCGGCCAAGACAAGCACAAACACATACATCATACATATACATGTATATATCAGTAACACAACACAGATCAATAATTAACACTAGAATCAACATATCAAACTAGGGCGTAAAATTTAAACTGCCATCACACAAAAACACCTAATTCATCAAATAAATGATACAACTGTACTAAAGAAAACTCACAAACTTCAAGATCACTGCTACAGAACTCATCGTTGCGGCCAAGACAAGCGAAGAGGCTCGAGTCCCACTGCGACCGACGCAGCGGCTCGCCCACCACGCTCCCCTGCCCTAAGGGCAACCCATCGGCGGTCCACCAAAAGGGAACGCCGGAAGGCGGCGGAGGCGATGATTTCTCCGCCACAGACGGCTGAACAGCGGTGGTTGGATCGGCGGCTTTCTTGTCGTCGTCTACCTTGGGTTCCTTCATCAGGAGTGGGTTGGATTCCTCGGAATTGGCCATGAAGACGAAGTAAGAACAGAAACCCACAAGAGGGAAGAGAGAGAATGTGAATTTGGAACTGGAAATGGGAAATGGAGATTGGAAACTCAGAGATCTGAGCAGCGAAGAAAACGTGTAGAGAATAGATCAATGAAGGGTCTCTGTTTTGTTTGCTTTTGTTTTGTTTTTTTGTTTTTTTTTTTCTTTAAAACCACAGCTGGAAAAGACTGGAAATTATTCCAACCAACGTCAAAACGCGCCATAATATATATATATATATATATATATATATATATATATATTGGTGGAGTTCCCATTCGAGTCCTCCATACCCAATTTAAAATGGTCATATATATATATTTTTTTCTTCTTCAAAATTGTATTAAATATTTATGTCTTGTACAGTAGTACTCTTTATTAGATAAAATTTCTAAAATTACATGTTAATTAATTAAATGTCTCATACAATTATGAGACATTGAAAATATAAATTTATAGGATAAAAGTGTCATTTTAACATTTTTTTCTCTCCCTCACACTATACACCTACGTGTATCTATATATACAAACAGCTATTTTTTTTATTTTTTATTTTGGTACATATACTATTATGAATCCGTATATAGTATAATTATATATATATATATATATATATATATATATCCAAAACCACATGTTAAAATATATATAATTATATATACATTCTGTATATAGTTAAACATAGAGAAAAAGAAAAGAATCCATTTCTAGAAGACTAATTTTTATTTTTATTTTTAAAGGATCAATTTAAAAGAGAATAAATAATTAAAATGACACTTTTATCATAATAATTTATATTTTAAATGTCTCTACATGACATGTAATTAATTACAATATAATTTTAAGAATCTTAATCAATTAAGAGCGCTACTATGTAAGAATAGTGACTTGCGCAATTGCAATTAGCACTAAAAAAAAAAATTTAAAATATTTCCTTCTACAATTTTAATTTTTTTTCAATAAACACCATCTTAGTTAAAAGATGCCAATAAAAGTGGTATTATTTTCATGCAACAAATACCCTCAACTTAAGTGAAAAAAAAGCACTGAGAAGTATGAAATTTTGGAGTAATGAATAATTGAATATGTTATTTGAGCTAAACTCACTTATTTAAAATAATAATGATAATAATGATGAAGGTGGTTTCATACCTATTTGTGACTCTTGATAGTAAAAGCTTAATTAGAAGGGTAACGATACTTCTATATTTATGTGGTGGGCAGCTATTTCTAGATGCAACTGCCATTTCAACTAGGATTTTGAAAAATACATTTTCTTTCTATTAGGTAGGAAAAAATTACCATATTTTTTTTTTTCTTTTCATGTAAATTATTCCCGATTAACTTAAACAATGTGATTAAGCAAATATAACATAAATAAATAAATACACCCATCTATATGTGAAAATCTTAATAGGAATGTTGAAATTTAACTTAATATTTGATAGTGGGGTTAACCATTGGTAGCAAAAAAATATCTAAATGGAGTGCAGTTTAATCATAAACAACATCACAATTATGGCATTTGTTTACGTTTGATCCATCTTGAATATTAATTTTCCCTTTCTTTTGTTAGGAATTATGTCTCAAATTTCCATTATTATTAGTTTATATTTTAGAATGTACTTTTATGATAATTTCTTATAAAGACGTGAATTAGACTCTAAAAAATTATAATCCTTGTCCACAAAAAAATTGGGCATGTGACTCTATAAATAGACACTTAAACTATTGTTGAGAGTTATGAGTTAAGAAAGATGTAGTCTCATGAGGTAGTACGTTAATAGTAGGGATAAGTTACAGGTTTGGTAGAGTGAACACTGACAACTGATAGCAAGATGGAGTCTCGTAAAGTACACGGAGAACTCGGTCAAGAATTTGTGTACATTGTCCGGTGTTGAAATTTTCTACTATCGTAATATCTCTACATATATAGTGAATCTCTTCTCATTCGTGGATGTAACCCTGATTTTGGATGAACCACGTATATATCTTGTATTGTGATTTGAATTGTTGTTTTCTTTTGCTTCCACTGTGTCCCAACATCTTTTTCTAAATTAAATGTTCAAGCAAAATGTAGCAATCTTCCTATTAGCATTTTCATAGGGAGACGACAAAGTCAATGACTTGCGTGCAAGAAGGGGAAGACAATCTTTATTAATTGTGAAAATGACAACAATCAAAGTTTAAAATTACACAATTTCAACTATAGGGTCTAAATCAACATCAGTCACCAAGAGATTATATGAAATTTCTGTGTGTGTGTGTATATATATATATATATATTAGTGAAGTAGTTTTCCTTTCATTAAAACGAGATTATAGTTTTTCTTTCTTTGCGAAACAAAATGTCAACAAAATTTGGTTTATGTCAAGGTCAGGACAAGTGGTCCCCATAACTGCTAAACATTTTTCCACACAACTTCATTACTGGTTTAACCAATACAAATTCATTGCTTCTTCTATAGGGCGATGGTATTTTCCAAGCGTTTTATTTATAATTATAGGACACCTTGCTTAAAATTAAAGACAACGAACATGATCAATATAGCAAGTTACAAATGTATACACAAAAAAAACCTTCTAAACTGCTATTAGAGCAGAATCTAAGTTCATTGGAGAGTTTAACTCAAAAGAAACATTTCAGGGGAAATGGGTTCAAGAAAACGCTTTCCTAGAAAATGACCATTTTCTTAATTTGATTTTGAGGCATTCAAGGGGGGTGTGACAGTCTCTCAAAACATACTCTAAATCTACTTGTAAACTCTTCACAACGTTTCTCAGTTAAATTTTACATAATTTGAAGTGTTGTTTGGATTTTCCATACTAGTATATTCTAGTCATATTTAAAATGAGTTTAGCTATACATTTATCGGAATGTGTCAGGTAACACGAGTTATGTTGAAACGCTGCATTTATTGTCATGGAAAAATTAAAATTGTATTTGGGAGCACTGAATTTTTTCCAATTTCCATTTCAATTCTGTAATTTGAATTGCTTGTAAACAATAGCATCTACAGTGACCCATGGAAACAACAAATTTGAGTAAGTTCTTACCAAACTAATCAATTTTTGCTGAACACACTCTTATTTTCCAAAATAATGTAATCCATTAGTCTTCAAACGAACACAACAAATCATCACAAGGACATTGGTGAAAAGTTCATTTCTGTTCCCACATCGAAAAGAATAAGTGAACAGGAGCCACCCTCATGGGTATATAACGCAAGCACTATAATAGTTGGAAGCCACGGACCCGTGTGATGAGCACAGAGTGAGGTACTCTTTCGCCTTTTACTAAAGAATACCGTGCTCTCGTCACTTTATAGCTTACAATTCTTAGTTTAAAGTAATTTGTTTTGTTCTCTTGTAATATGCTTCAATGATAAATGTTAGTTCTCATTGGTATTACTAGGAACTTTCAATCTTCAAACGTAATCTAGCCTTTTCCTTCTGGTAATACTGTCCCATTTATGTATTATCTGATGAACTCTGTTATAAGCTATTAAAGCATTGTAACTTTTTAACTGAACTTTGGCAGCATGTCTTTGGAAGTTATTGGTTATTGATGAGAGCAACTGTAATATTGAAAATGGAGAGAGATATTGATGAGATCAATAACACATTGGTTAAAATTTAACTCAGAAGATCCGTATCAGGGGAAAAAGGGTTCAGGAAAACATTTTCCTAGAACATGACCATTTGATTTTGAGGCATTCAAGAGGTGTGCCAGTCTCTCAAAATATGCTAGATGCTAAAGAAAAGAGTCCAACTCTCTGACTTTATTTACTGGATACAAGTAAAGTGACCAAATAATCGGAAAGGCTTGCGACTTTTCACAATTTTTCTCACTTATATTTTACATAATTCTAAGTTTTGTTGTTGAAAGGCTTCGTCGTCATGGGAAACCATTGTTAGGAAAAAAATCGAAATTGTGCTAGGGAGTATTGAATTTTCTCCAATTCTAATTCTAATGCGCTAATTGGGTGATTGGAATTGCTCGTAAGCTATAGCATTTTCAGTGGTGTGTTTTGCTTACCAGACTGATAAATAAAGGGAAAGAAGAATCATCTTATAGTGATATGGTGAATGCATCAAATAGTGTTTGAATTAGTTCTTACCAAAGTGATCAATTTTCGCTACAATAGTCTTATCATCCAAAAAATGCAATCCACTTCACGAACTGCTCGGGCTCGGCTCGTTAATTACTCGGCTCGAGCTTGGTTCAGGCTCGAGCTCGGTTCACTTATAAGTGAACCGAGCCGGATTATGAGGTTCGATTCATAAACGAGCCGAGCCTGAACTTCAATAGGCTCGACTCGTTTGTTCATGAACCGTTCACGAACTGAGCTCGATAAGGCGTTCATGAACCTACTCGATTATACACACACACACATACTTAATTATAATATAGACAAAAGTTGGGGTCAGATTGTAATTATAAGTAGCACATTTATATATAGATATGTATTTATGTTGGGGTCAGATTGTAATTATATATAGAGTTTGTGGTTATTATGCAAATACGTCTTTCTTGTCTTTGTATATAAACACTTTTTATGTTTAGAGTCGATGGAATAATAAGCCATACGCCTCCATCTGTTCTCTCTTTCCATCGTTGACCATCAACAGAGCCGATCCCCAACCATCAAAAATAAAAAAAAATTATGTTCTCTCTCTCCATCTGTTCTCTCTCCAATAAAAAATTTTATATTCCTTAATTTATTATTCTACATCAAAAAAGAGTCTACAAAGCGACGCCGCCCCAAATCATAGCACCGAGACGACCATTACCGATGGGAATAACATTGGTCCGGTGCTTCGCTAGTTCACTGAACCCAACCTTGAGAGGCTTCGAAGGCTCTAAGTACTTTTTCTGTGCCGATCCCCAACCATCAACGAAGAACAGCAGTTTCAGCCGGGATCTCACTCGCGCCTGCAAATCTATTTCTCTCTCAAACTTTTTTTTTTTTTTTTTTTTTTTGTTCCATCTATTAGAACTTATATGCGAAGTACAGCCAGCAAAAAAAAATAAAAATAAAAAAACGAGCTATCAAGCCTTCGGCGCAAAACTCGTGAAACATAGTTGAGCCGAACTCGAGCTAAATTTTTTAGACTTAATCTCGAACCGAGCTTGAGCACCCTATTAACTGACTGAGCCGAGCTTGAGCACACCATTACTCGGCTC